GGACCTGCCTTTCCAAGGGTCCTTGTGCAGTTTCCCACTCCCTCCTGGCGTCACCCATGGGGAAGGTGTGGTGGCCACAAGACACACACGCACACAACAGACAGACACACAGACACACAGACAGACACACACCCACCCTCGCCTCTTCTCTCTCTCTTCTCTCTCTCTCCCTCCTCTGTCTCCCTCCAACTCTTCTCTACTTTCTCCCCCGACCCTCTCCAAGGCTGAGGGGGGAACATGGACAGCCCCTGAGCCACAGCCCCGGAGACTTCCCCAAGGACAGCAGAGCCCAGAGCCTCCCACCTGCCTCCACCACAGTCTTCTCTCCCCAGAACACACAGGACACCTCCCTCCATACCCAGGAGCTGCAGCTCCACCTGAGACCCCAGGGCCTGGGTCTCTTTCTCCGGGTCAGAGGCCGGGCTGGTGACACTGGAGACAGAGGTCTGTTCCCTCCCCAGTCATCCCCCAGTGAGCCCCTTTCTATCCCCCAGAGCCACCTTTGTCACCTTCCTGCTGGGTGTCATCCCATCTTCCCCAACACCGAAGAGCACAGGGAGACCCGGCCAAAATAATCCCCCAGGCTTGGATACCCAGGGCTCTGCCTGTGGAGCTGACACACTGGAGGCCAGGAGCCAGCAGAGGGCAGCACTGAGGAGGGCGGGTCATCCTCCCAGGGACAGGGTGCACCAGCCTCGCTGCTGAAAGGGCCTCCCCAGGACAGCGCCATCAGCCCCGCCTGAGAGCTTTGCCAAAGAGCAGTCAGAGGAGGCCATGGCAGTGGCTGAGCTCCTGCTCCAGTCGCCAACAGACCAGACCAACAGCACAACGCAGCTCCTCCCCACCATCACAGGCCACCAAAGGGAAACTGAGTCGCTACCTGACCTTAGAAAGATAATAGCCAATTTCCTAAACAGGCCAGTTTCAATCGCATGCCAATGACCTGCCCTCTGCTCTCATCCTTCCCGGAGCAGGACCCGGATTCTTCCCGATCAGGGATCTCTCTCTTGTTCCCTGAGCCTTTCCTGCCTTACAAGGGCTGAGTCACCTTCTGTTCCGCAGCCCTCCCCTCTCTGTACAACCCACGCTTCTGCTCAGCTCCTAGACCCATGTGTTCTGCCTCAGGGATGAAGTCTCACCCCATTTTAGGATGGCAAGTAAAGCCACTTGAAGTCTTTATCCGTGCTAGTTTATCCTGTGACAGTTCTGTGTATCTGTGTGTGTACATGTGTGTCAGTTTCAGTGAGTCTTAGTGCATATGTGTGTCTTTATGTGTGTTTGCCTGTATGTCTGTATATATGTGTGCCTGTGTATGTGTGCATGCCTGTGTGTGTGGGGGGGGGATAGGTGTGGAAGGAGAGTCATATCTGAAGAAGACAAATGGCTTCAGCAGGTCCTAAGGACCAAACACACACAGCAGGGAAGAGGAGGAAGCAGGAGGCAGGACTGAGAGGGGAGGGGGCAGAGGGGTGTCCTGGGCAGAGCCCCGCCCTTGCCCTGGCCCTGATAAGTGCACCTGTCCTGGGAGGAGGCTGAGCACAGAGGGAGGAAGGTCAGCAGAGCCGACAGTCACAGCAGCCCCGACAAGAGTGTTCCTGGAGCCCAAGCTTCTCCATACAGAGGACAGAGCAGGCAGCAGAGACCATGAGGCCCCCCCCAGCCCGTCCCCGAAGAGCACGCATCCCCTGGCGGTGGCTTCTGCTCACCGGTGAGGGGAGGATTCCCTGGGAGAGGGTGGGAGGAGGGGGCACAGAGACTGGCTGGCGTCTCCTGGGGAGAACGGGGCTCTGAGAGGGGACAGAGGGCTTCTGTTGAAGCCTGAATAGGAGAAAGAACACCTGAAAGAGACCGGGGTCACACCAGGAAAGTCACATTGAACTGGAACTGGTAAGGGGCAGGAAAACCTCAATTCTCCATGTTTCTAAGGCAGTCATCAGTGGTCACTAAATACTGAAAAATGATAAGAAACGCAACCATGTATGTCACCGTGACACTGCAGAAAGAAAACCTTCCCGGCGACCCCTGGGCAACTCCCTGCCTGGCGTGAGATCCGCGCTGAGTCAGCAGAGGACAGGCTTGGGCCCAAGAGAGGCCACGCACGCCGTGGGTGGGGGCAAAGGGTTGCTCCGGGGGTACTTACAGGCCAGGCAGGCTCGGGCAGCAGCCGCACAGGGAAGGCCCCCACGTGCCCTTCGTGACTCACTAGCACATTATATCACGAGAAGAAAAGGAGAGGGAGGCCGGGCGCGGTGGCTCACGCCTGTAATCCCAGCACTTAGGGAGGCCGAAGCGGGCAGATCACGAGGTCAGGAGTTGGAGACCAGCCTGACCAGCGTGGTGAAACCCCGTCTCTACTAAAAATACAAAAAATTATCTGGGCGTGGTGGCGGGTGCATGTAATCCCAGCTACTGCGCAGGCTGAGGCAGGAGAATCACTTGAACCCGGGAGACGGAGGTTGCAGTGAGCCGAGATCGCCCCATTGCACTCCAGTCTGGGTAACAGAGGGAGACTCCATTTAAAAAAAAAAAAAAAAAAAAGGAGAGGGAGAAAAGGGAGAGAAGAGGAAAAGAACATTTCTGGCACGTGGAGCCATCTGCCTCTTTCTTAGTCTATTTACTCTCTACTTAAAGGGAGCCTCTCCCCACTACAATCTGGGTGACATCCCTAAGGCAGTGGGGACATCCTGGGTGGCAGCAGCCATCGTGGATCCTGTGTGTTCCCTCCCTGGCCGCCTCCTCCACCTCACTTCCAGGTCCCCATGCAGAACCCATTTCCACAACAGCACAGACACTGTCCTCACCGTCCGACCTCAGGCATCGGCAAAAAAACCCCAGGCTGTGGAGGGCCCTGGGAAGGCTCATGAGCTCATCCACAGGAGTCTGCAGACGATCCCAGGCACTGGGGTGCAACCAAGATCACACAAGTCCCTGCTGTCACGGAGCTCCCACTCTCATGGGGAGGCAGGCAGACATGCAAAGAGATCTAGAATGTGAGGTCAGGTGTTGACAAGAGCCCTGGAGGGAACAGAGCAGGGAAAGGTCAGAACGGGAAGACCCAGGGTCTCTAGAGGCGGTGTCAGGGGACGGATTTTTTTCTTTAAATATATTTATTACACTTTAAGTTCTGGGGCACACGTGCAGATCGTGCGGGTTTGTTACATAGGTACGCACGTGCCATGGGGTGGTTTGCTGCGTCCATCGCCGCGTCATCTACATTTCTCCTAATGCTATCCCAGGGGAGGCATCTTTTAAGAACAGCCTGGTGTGAGCAGAATCTGAGGGTAGTAGGGAGAGCCATGTGGACTCCTGGGGAAGAGGATTCCACAAGGAAATGCCAAGGTCAGAGGCACTGAAGGGATGGGAGTAGGGGTCACTGCTGACCTTGACACAGTAGGACACACACTCACACACACTCTTACTCTCCAAGGCTGAGGGGTGAAAAGCCCAAGCTCAGGACCCAGGGCCCCATCTTTCCACCCCAATACATGGGTCCCAGTGTTGACTGATACTCTCTTCCTCTCCTAGCCTCACTTGGAAGCTTCTGGAACCTGCCCACCACTGCCCAGGACCTTGAAGTTCTCACTATGGAATTTGTGCCACCCAGAGCCACAGAGGGGAAGAATGTTCTCATGATTGTCCACAACTTGCCAAAGTCATTTGCTGGCGTCATGTGGCACAGAGGAGCCATGATGGACCCTAGCCTCTTCATTATAGCATATAGACGCCTGATAGACTATATATGAGAGGGCCTTTATACAGCAGCCGAGAGATTTTGTACAGCAATGGAAGCCTGCTGCTCCAGAACGTCACCCGGAATGACACAGGACTGTACAACCTGCAGGTCATGAAATGGGATTTGCTTGTTGACAGAGTAACTGGCACGTTACGCATGTAGCGTGAGTGATTCCTTCCAGACTTCTAGGTGCTGGGGGTCAGTTCTGCTTCACACACGGGGACAGTCAGGCCTGGGCTGTGCGTGTGTCCTCCTCTGCATTACGTGCTATGTTGGGGTTTGGGCATTTGGTGCAGGACACACACAGGGGAGACAAACTTCCACAGATCAGAATCCCTTTCCTGCATCCAGACCCTGCAGATACTCACGGCAGAGGAAGGACAGTCTGATGGGGGAGGTGGGGCACACATCAGGGGGAAGTCAGTCTCCACCAAGCTCCCCCTCTCCCCGTGCCCTCCCCATGAGCCTGACCTTGAGAAAGACCCTGGAGAACTGGGTCAGGGCCTGGCCTGAGGGGCCCCCTGGGATCCTCACCAAAATTCAGCCCCAGGGCTCCTGACTCCAGGTGGCTCTAAGGAACATGTGCCAGGGCTGGCTTGTGGCCTCCTGGCCAAAGCTGACTGGGAGGAATGATCTACCAGCTGTCCAAGGGCTGTGGCTCATTGAGCTGGTCGCCAGCCAGGGCCCAGCTTCCAGAGCCTCAACTGGGCAAGGAGGGCGCCTCTGCCTTTCGCTGAGTCTCAGCCTGGAAAGGACAGATGGACCAGCTCCCCGGATCATTAAACTGAATGGGGACATTAAGAAAGACCCTAGGGGCAGTCAGTGTCCCCAGGGGCAGGAACAGAAAGGAGAAAGTGTTTCTGGCCACTTCTGCAGTCTCTATTCTATTCCATTGGTCTCCACGGACAGACCACAGTCTTCTGATCACTGTGGCTCTGTAGAAATTTTGCACTTCAGAAGTGTGAGATTTGAAACTTCCAGATCTCTTTTTTTTCTTCCTTTCTTTTTTTTTTTTTTTTTGAGACAGAGTCTCACTTCGTCACCCAGGCTAGAGTGCAATGGCGTGATCTTGGCTCACTGCAACCTCCACCTCCCGGGTTCAAGCAATTCTCCTGCCTCAGTCTCCCAAAGTGATGGGATTACAGGCCTGCACCACCATGCTCAGCTAATCTTGTATTGTTAGAGACAGGGTTTCCCTATGTTGGTCAGGCTGATCTCGAACCGCTGACCTGGTGATCCGCCTGCCTCAGCCTCCCAAAGTGCTGGGATTACAGGCACGAGCCACTGAGCTGGGCCTCCAACTTCCAGATTTCTTTTGGAAGAAAAAAGAAATCTTTTTCAAGATGTTTTTGGCTATTTGAAATTCCTCATGAATTTTATGGTAGGTTTTCTATTTCAGCAGAGTGTCACGGGTACTTTTATAGGAATTTTATGAATCTGCGGATCACTGAGAAATATCGTCTTCCTATCTGTGAACACAGGCCATTTCCGCATGTATGTCTTTATTCTGTACATTGTTTTACCTTTGTTTTGTGATTTTTAGTGCAAGTTTTCTGCCTCCTTAAGTTTATTATTAAGCATTTTATTCTTTTTGATGTTGTAAATGAGTGGTTTTCATAATTTCATGTACATTGTTCATAGTGGGTGGAGAGAACACAGCTGATGATTGCCTGTGGATTTTATGTCCTTGGCAAATTTTCTCTATTCGATCTAATAGAGTTGTTTTCCGGGCGTAGGATCGCATGTTTTTCTACGTGTAGGATCATGTCATCTGCAGAGATAATTTTTCTTCTTCCTGATCCATTTGGATGCCTTTATTTATTTTTCCGGTGGATTGCTGTGGCCGGGACGTCCAGTACAGACTTCAAAGAAGTGGTAACAGCAGCATCCTTGGCTGGTCAAGTGCAATGGGGTTTATGCTAACCGATCGCAACCAGTTACAGATTTATTTGTTCTCCTTCCGCTCCTGCCGCTTCACTTGACTAGCCTTTAAAAGAAGAAAACAACAACAGCAAAAACACAGCGTCCTTGTCGTATTTTATTTTATTTTGAGATAAGAGTCTGGCCCTGTTGCCAGGTCAGAAACGGAGCGCAATGGCGCGATCTCAGCTCGCTGCAACCTCCACCTCCCAGGTTCAAGCGATTCTTCTGCCTCAGCCTCCTGAGCAGCTGGGATTACAGGCACTTGCTACCATGCCTGGCTAATTTTTGTATTTTTAGTAGAAACGGGGCTTCGCCATGTTGACCAGGCTTGTCTGGAACTCCTGACTTCAAGTAATCCACCCACCTTGGCCTCCCAAAGTTCTGGGATTACAGGCATGAGCCACCACCCCTGGCCTGTTTTGATTTTAGAGGAAGAGTTTTCGTGTTCTCCTGAGTGTGATAGTAATTGGAAGCTTTCCGTGTATGGCCGTTATTCTGTTGAGGCCATTTCCTTCTGTTCCTACAAGTGCCAGGCTTTTGCAAAACCATGAGTGCGTATCTCCATAGAGATTTCCTTCATTATGATACTCAATGTGCAGAAGTGAAATTCTGTTAGATTCAGAAATCCTTGAGATTGGAAATTCTTAAGGCTCTAAGATCATCAAGACTGAGTTGGGGCGTCCTTGTTCACTAACAATTTCTCCAGCAATAGGAAACGATTGCCTGGTTTCATGTAAATCTTCCCCAGCCCAGGGATGAACACAGCTGGCCAGCCTGCCTTCCCCAGCACACCCGAGTGCACAGCAGGAGAAGGCGCTGTTGATGGAGTCACAGAAAGTGCTAGGGAAGGGTCACCCAGAAGCCATTGGGAGAAGCCATCTCTCTGGTGTGAGGATGCCAGACACACAGCCAGGAGAGGGTCCCAAGGCAGATAATGCAGAGGCAGCCAGGGGGCAGGCAGGGGCAGCCTTGGGTGACCTGGGGTCAGAGGGGAGGTGCTGCTCGCTCTTCACAGACCCCCACCTGAACGGGTGCTCCGCCTCCTGCAGGGGGTCGGGGCCATCCCTGCAGTGGTCACCTTGCACAGTTCACTGTGGGACCTGAGAGCTGGCTGGGATCTCTGAGGACAAAGCGTGACCCCAGGGCCCAGGCCACTCCCAGTTGGTCACCTCCTCTGTTTGTCCACAGGGCCAGTGTTTCAGCCTTCCATCCAAGCCAGCAGCAAGCAACAGAGTCACGGAACAGAAGGACTGTGTGGTCCCGACCTGCCTCACAAGTGACACGGGAACCTCTATTCAGTGGACCTTCAGTGACCGCAGTCTGCAGGTCACAGAGAACGTGAGGCTGTCCTGGGACCGCTGCATGCTCAGCATAGACCCCATTAGGAGGGAGGACTCTGGGGAGGGTCAGTGAGAGGTCTCCCACACGGCCAGCTCCTGCAGAAGTGAGCCCCTCACACTGACTGAAACACCAGCCACCTCAGTCCCCCCACAAGGTAGTCAGCTCTAAATCGATGCTTTTCCTGTAAAATCTTGGTAAATCACCTACTTCCTTTGTAGAGCCCTTGTGAAGAGCAATGGGATGGAGGTGGAAGGTCCTTGGAGAACGTTTCAATAAATGCTCAGCGTTGGCCGGGCGCGGTGGCTCAAGCCTGTAATCCCAGCCCTTTGGGAGGCCGAGGCGGGTGGATCACGAGGTTGAGAGATCGAGACCATCCTGGTCAACATGGTGAAACCCCGTCTCTACTAAAGGTGCAAAAAATTAGCTGGGCATGGTGGCACGTGCCTGTAATCCCAGCTACTTAGGAGGCTGAGGCAGGAGAATTGCCTGAGCCCAGGAGGCGGAGGTTGCGGTGAGCCGAGTTCGTGCCATTGCACTCCAGCCTGGGTAACAAGAGCGAAACTCCGTCTCAAAAAATAAAAAATAAATGCTCAGCGCTGTGAGTTGATGTCATTACTCTGGTTGCCTTGAGATCGTCGACACCCACCCCACCTTGTGTTGGTGTCAGCTGCGGCATCTCCACAGTAAGGGTGACCCTGCATTCTATAGGGAGAGGGACACCCTGGGCTAAGACCCCACAAGAGATGAGTACTGGCCAGGACAAGATCTCTCACCCATGGGGTATCACCAGCACCCCTCAGAAGATGCCTGCTCATGGGGACACAAGCCCAGGCTGAATCAGGCTATGGATGAACCCCAAGTCCCTGAACACCCCCACTCTCCAAGCCTGAGCAGTCCCTGCCAGACCCCTCCTCCTGGACCACAACCCTCCAGTTCCCAGGATGAAGGGAGTGACCTTCACCCCAAACACCACAGGGGGATCTCAGATACCCTGACGCCCCTGCAGAAAGGGTTCATGAGATGTCCATGTAGCACTGGGCCTCAGTCATTCCCTCAAACTTCCCAAGGCCCAGGGGCTCTCTCCCTCTGGCATCTCCCTCTCCCCACAGGCTCTAGGAACTGTGCACCCCTGAACCCCCATTAGAAGGAAGCTGCCCCTTCACTCTCCCTGACTGTGTGAGGGGCAGCTGAGCACAGTGGGCACGGAGATGCATAACTCCAGAGGGCACCTTCCCTAGAGCACCATGCCCAGGCCTATAGGGATGTTCCCTGGTGGTCCTGCCCCACCTCTACTCCCCAGATCACAGCTCCTCCCACCACATGGCAGTCCTGCTGAGTGCCAGCCCTCCCTCTTCACCTGTCCCCATGGAACACGGAGCCTCCTCAGCGTCCCTGCCCTGAGCACAGTCCAGAGGAGGGTGGTGCCCCATAGAGGCAGCCAGTGGGGGTTCATTTAGAGAAGGGGCAGGACAGGGCACCTAGGAGAGGAGCACCCCAGTGTCCCCACCCAGGCCGGTGACTTGAACAAGCACACAGGGCCCTCCTGGGCGGAGCGCTCCCTCAGTCCCCCAGCCTTCCCTGAAGAGCACCCAGGAATCCAACCATATCTACCCCGTCAGCTCTGGGAGTCCACGTGAAGGCAGGAGGAGCTCATAAGGCCAAATGTCCAGCCAATGGACAGTAACTCCGTTTCTTCTGCTCCTCTTCGGAGTTGTAGGTCTTTAAAAAGGAAAAGAAACTGCTTTTCCGGGAGCTTGGCTTTTGGACGTGAGTCTACCCGTACGCCACCGCTGATTAGTCTTTTCCTCCCTCACTCCGGCGTCTGAGGGGTTCTGTCAGCCGTTCGTCCTGCAACATTTCTGGTTCCCTGACCGTATTGTTATTGCTGGGAGGGCCCACGGCGTGTGTTGGGGGCACCCAAGAGAGAAGCCTGGGTACCGACGGGACCTGGGCTGAGGAGGGCACAGGAGCCCAGACAGGGGAGGCTGCCCCAGCAGGGAGGGCAATGGGGACAGGGGATCTGGGGACGTTGTGTTCTCTGTTCCTGGGAGGCCAGGCCTCCAGGGCTATGTCTGGAGTGGGTGGGGGCTGCACCTGCCTATCGCTCAGATCTCAGGACCCTGAGGCCCTCTGCTCTGTGACCCACAGTGAGGTTCCTTCTGCCTAGAGATAAAAGTGGGTCCTGGGGGCGGGCGCGGTGGCTCACGCCTGTAATCCCAGCACTTTGGGAGGCCAAAGCAGGCAGATCATGAGGTCAAGAGATCGAGACCAGCCTGGCCAACGTGGTGAAACCCCGTCTCTACTAAAAATACAAAAATTAGCTGGGCGTGGTGGCAGGCACCTGTAACCCCAGCTACTTGGGAGGCTGAGGCAGGAAAATTGCTTGAACCCAGGAGGCAGATGTTGCAGTGAGCTGAGATCAAGTCACTGCACTCCAGCCTGGGAGACAGAGCTAGACTCCATCTCAAAAACAAAGAAACACAACCAACAAACAAAAAAACCAGACCAGGACACAATGCGGTAGTAAAATTGCAGTCCCTGCTTTGGAGCACAGAGAAAAAGACCCTAAACGAACTATGACCGAAAAGAGCAGGATTTACACAGTTGAGTTTGTTCTCCAGAAATGCAAGGTGAGTTTAACACCCAGAAAAGAACAATTGCCCTTGCTACAGCAACAGATTCGCTAGAAAAAAATTACAATGAGCAGAACAGAAGTGAAATGGCGTTGCATGAAATTCCACATTATTCCATCACGGTGGAGACATGATGAAAAGAGATCCCTCTTTTCAGGCCCTGAGGGAAACCTGCAGCCCCGTGGCTGCCACATCCCTCCTGATTCTTCCAGCTGAGGACCCTCTTTGAAATCCCCAGGAGGACTCATCCCCACTGGGAAAGGCCCCATCTGGAAGGTTCCACAACAGCCCAGCCATGTCCCTCGGGCACAGATTGAGTGACAGGACCCTTAGGGACCCTGGTGCATGGTCATGTCCTTAGTGGCCACACACAGCAGGGACCTCTGGACCCATGTTTGGACCCAGAAGACTGGGGCCCTGGGGTGGCTCCAGGTCTCCAGTCCACGCCACCAAAATCTCCAGAGTGAGGCTCCTCCCTGGGGTCTCTGATGCCTGTCCAGGAGGTCCCCCCTGGGCAAATCTAAAGAGTGTGGAGGGCTGGGGTTGTGGCAGTAAAAGTAGCCACATTTGTCTCAGGATAGAGAGGGAGGGCACGAGCTCTAGAAAGGGTGAGGGCGCCCTCTAGGGGGCGCCTTCTGCTAAGGAGCAAAAAGGGGCCAGGAGAGTTGGAGAGATCAGGGCTGGCTTTGGACTGAGAGTGAGTTCAGGTGGAGGGGCCTGAGGGGAAAAGAGGAGGGGGAGGAGGGGGAGTGGTCAGGAGAGATGGGAGGAGCAGGTGAGGGGATGCTTCAGGGAGCTGTGGGAAGCACGGCAGGGCTCTGGCTCCTCAGCATTGACATTGGGGTGGCCATGCTGGTTGGGCTCTGTGAGCTGTGGGGTGCTCAGCACCATCTGGGGGCTCTACCCACTCGGTGACAGCAGGACTCCCTCCCCAGCTCTGACAACCAACAACCAATATATCCCAGACTTTGCCAAATGCCCCCTGAAGGATAAAATATCCCCCTGCAGAATCCATCCCAAAATAGACCTAGTAACCAGGCAATGCTGGAGTCTCACTCTCGGCCCCGTGAGCTGACAGCATCCTGATGCCCCTGCCCTGGGCCCTCTCTGAACCTCAGGGGCCTAAACGTTCCCTTATGGGGAAGGAAGGTGTTTTGTATGTCCTCAAAATCCACCCGTCCACCTCTCACACCTGTTCACCCCCAAAACCTGTTGCCCCTTCTTGGATTAGATCCTCAAATTACTGACCTCTGTTCCTGCCACGTGTGACAACCTCCATGTTTGGACCCAGAAGAGATGGGAGGCGTCAGTGTACAACCATCATGTGAAATTGTAAGTGTTTTTTTTTTTTTTTTTTTTTTCTATTTACAAACACTGGGGAGCGTGCGGCGCACCTGGAGACACAGGTCAGGGAGCCCAGCAGGGAAGACGGGAAGGACCTGTAGGCCAATGGCTTTATTGGGTCCAGAGTGTTATCTGACAGGTTTCCAGCAGGGAGCTTTAAGGGGTGGGCGTAAAGCAGCAATCACTGGGGCCAGGAGACCACACTTTATTCTCTTTGCTGCAGATGGCCCGGACACCCCCACTATTTCCCCCTCAGACTCCTACTATCGTCCAGGGACCAACCTCAGTCTCTCCTGCCACACGACCTCTAACCCACCTGCATAGATTTTTGGACGATTTATGGGAGGAATAAAGCCACAGGTTATATCATCAGAGGGAAGGGGAAGCTCCTGGTCTGTGGAAGGGGCATAGTGTCCCTCTGAGCCAAGTCACAATCTTGAAGTCCCAGCCAAAACCTGCTGTGTTAACTGAGGCCAAGCCTCAGAGACATTACCCGTTTCTCTCATCAGAAGATGTGGACCCTGAGCCTCACAGGACAGGAGCACCCTCTTTCCGCCTGTTCTTGGTCAAGGCTGGGACTGCCCAGGTTGGCCTGGGGCAGGAAGTCATGGCCAGCCTGGGTGTCTAGGGGTGAGGATCTTGTTCTTGGACCTGAGAGGGACTGAGAGGCCTGGCCTCTGGCCTTGTGGATTTGGTCTGGCAGCCTGGGTCAGAGAAGAACAGAAGATACTCACAGGTGACATTCAGGGTGACTGGGTCACTGCGCTGGCACTTGCTGGGTTCTGTATTTCACACTCATAGGGTCCTGTGTCGTTTCTTGTGACATTGAGTAGAGTGAGGGTCCTTTTGTCATTGGACAGCTACAGGCTGCGGCTGGATGGGAGTCTCTGATTGTTTACCCACCACACGTAGGTGGATTCCTGAGTCTCAGGTTCACAGGTTAAGGCCACAGCATCCTCGTCCTCCACGGGGTTGGAGTTGTTACTGTGATGGAGGGCTTGGGCAGCTCTGCGATGCAGAAAACAGAGTGGAGATTGTCCTGTGTGGCACCTGTGATTCCTCCACGGGCATCTTTCAATCAGAGTTGGCATCTCACACCTCTCAGCCCCCCGAGTCCTTGAAAGCCCACAGCAGGTGTGTGTGTCACATGACAGATGCATGACGATCTTGAGGGCTCAGAGACTGTGAGGCCACCTGCTCTGTGTGGGCACCTGCACAGTATGAACTGAGCAGCAGTGTTGAGTCGTGAACAGACACAGGACCGGAAATTAGCCCCTGGTGCCTCTCCTAGTTTTTGCTGATTGCTGCCTGCCTGGCCCACCTTGGGGTCCTCACCTGGAATGGGCAGCTGCTGGA